ACAATCCGCCACAGGTGTAGTTGATTGGGGTGATTAACACAGAATGGAAAGCAATGTTGCACCAATCTAACTAAAAGCACACAATCAATTAAAAAAACGTGCAAAATAGAAAAAAAAAATAAGTACAACATTACCACTCTGCGACACACACACGTACACACACACACACAGTGCTGCCAGACACAGAACAGCATAATGCAACATCAGTGTCAGACAGTCTCTAAAGGCAAGACTGCTCAGGCCGCTTTTGTTCAGTAATGGAGACACTGCAGAATTCTCCGCGCTCTTTTACCAACGTGCTCAATGCACTCATGACATCACTGATATCTATTTTTCAAGCCAATTTTGCAGACCGCCCATGTGCTCAGTCATGTCCACATTCCTAAGGCAGTGTGGAACGAACACGGCCAGGCTGGGGCGGGCCGCGTGGTGTGGAGTGGAGCTGATGCTAGTGTGTAAGTGGCAGAAGTCACATGACCAGCGCCGAACGTCATCAGACAATGCGCAGCTGTGAGTTACCACCTTTGAAATGCACAGAAACAAAGATAAGTTAGAGGAGCGAATTAAGGGCAAAATGCCTTCATCACCACATAAACGCTGTCAGGGCGCTCTGACGTTTTACACCGTTTACAAACTTGGAAACACTTTACACTGTTGTGATTATTTCTTAGTTTTGTTTAGAATCTCCACACCTTAAAAAACACCTGCTGGGGCTGGGAGGGAGTGGGAATTATTTTATTGGGATTGGGATGGGACGGATTTTTATTTTTCCTTTCTTTCTGGGATTGGGACAAGAGGATTTTTTTTTTTACAATGGAAGTGGGTTGGGAAAGCAATCATATCTCTGATGAAGATGCATGGGATCTGTCAGTGCCACCATCTGTTGCCATGTTTTGTTCTCATGGGCACACTGAGTCAAACTGGCTAGAATCCCTTTAGTATTGGAATGATTTTTCTCTGATTTGACTGATTTACTCAATTGTGCAACTGTTAACTGGCATTTTCATGACTCTTAGATAGAGTTTACTGAACAGATCACATGCTGCCCACTGGACTGTTCCAGTGTCCCGGAGAGGCAGGATCATAGAGCACTTGGACATGTGGAGGGAACGGCTGCGGCCTCCTTGCTCCTCTGCACCGTCACAGCTCAAGGCTGTTGTGGAAATGTAGGAGAATTGCCCTTCTTTGTTAGAAAGCCTTATGAGCCATCTGCATTCCCTGAAGACACTCTCAGCAAATATACGCTGATAAAATCCACATTTGTTTTTCACAGCTTAACAGTTTCAGGATTTTTAGTGCTTCACTGCTCTTTCCTAAACGCACCTTTTAAAGGTTTGTGTATGCTCATATGAGATTTGCATTTAGGTGCACTTGATGTCAAGAGTTGTTTTCTTAAATTGATTGGATGATTTCGGATGATTAGGGTTTTTTCTTTTTCACTTTGGCCCTGTCCACACGTAGCCGGGGATCTGCCAAAACATAGATATTTTTCTACGTTTTGGCCTGTCATCCACACGAAAACGGAGTTTTTTAAAAACTCCGGCCAAAGTGAAGATCTGCGTTTTCTCCGTTTTGGGTGTCTGCGTGTGGACAGACAAAACCGGAGTTTTAAGGTCCGCAACGTCACTTTCCGCGACAAAAAAACGCTGACATCACGTGTGCGACCTGTGTTTACACTAGCCGACAGCATGGATGCCCTCAGAGCTGCGCTCGCTTTATCAATTGTCCAAGCGCTTTTTGCTTGTTTGTTTTTGCAAGCGGAATTACTGCTCCTTGCGGAAGACCACAGACGAAGGACAAGGTTAAGAACGGGGGAAGTACTGCCGCCTACAGGTCTGGCATGTCCTTAACGTATTTATCCGGGTACGTGTGGACAGAGTTGTTTTTTTTAAACGAGGTGGTGTGGATGCAAGTTTTTGGAGGAGCGGATATTCGTTATTTTTTTTAAACCCGGCTACGTGTGGACTAGGCCTTTGACAGCATCAGTGTGTAATGAAGGGACTGTTCTATCCAGAATAGTTGATAGTGATGTGTTTGGCACCATTATTTGTTGTTCTTTTCGTTGTTTTCTTTTCCCCGTGTCCAGCTGTAAAGCAATCACAAAGTACGTCTGAGTGCCAAAAACAAGACTTAAAGTTTTACTCTTACAGGTGGAGCAAATGGATTCAGCTATAATGCCCCGCCTCATATGAAAAGTAAAACTTTATTTTTGCTTTCGGTTCTCTTGAATCCCAAAGGACACCGAGATGGATATGAAAGAGAAGAGGGGGAGAGGAAGGTAAGAGAGCTTTGCCGTCTAGCTGAGCTCTCTCTTTCACCATGGCAGACCCGTATCACTACAGAGGCAGCACCAATTCGCCTATCGATCTTGTGCTCCGTTTTTCCATCGCAACAAGACCCCAATATAATTAGACTCCTTCACTTGAGGCAGGACCTCTTCCCTGACCTGGAGAAGACATTTTTAGCCTTTTCCAACTCAAGACCATGGTCTTGGAGTTAGAGAAAGAAAACAATTGTTATATGTCACCTCTCAATATAAAAATTAGGAGGTGCTTCACAAGATCAAACAATTTATAATAAAATGTAAAAGAAAATTATTACAAAATAAAGTTAAAATGGAAAAAAAAGATTGTGACAAAAAATTGTAAGGAAAGGGAGAGAGAAAATGAATGGTAATGAGGGAAATCAGTGGATCCTGGCAAAGGAGGACTTAGTAGAGATGAAGGTCACACCAAAACCTGAACAGGTGAGTCTTCAGCTGCTTTTTAAAGGAGGCCACTGAGTCCACTGATCTCAGGCTCAGGGGGAGAGAGGTCCAGAGTCTGGGGGCCACGGCAGCAGATGATCTGTCACCTTTGGTCTTTAGCCTGGTGCTGCACAACCAGTAGGCTTTGGTCCCTGGACCTCAGGGACCTGCTGGGGGTGTAGGGACTGAGAAGACCACCAATGTAAGATGGTGCTTGTCCATGTAAGGCCCTATAGACCAGGGGTCTAATTTATAAAGCATTGCGTAGAATCCTTACTAAAACCGTACAATAAAAAAAAGTACTTATGACAAGTAGGTTTGTGACCTATAAAACGTATCTCCGTTCAGACTTTGTGTGAAATAACTTCTAAAATGACTTTTAGAAGACTGTTCTCAGTGAAACAAGCATGAGAAATGAAGATGCTTTAGGCAGAGAGGGGAAAGCTGATGAAAATTGGTCAGTAGGAAGTGGCAGAAGCTCTGCCAGCAACGCAGAAGACAATCTCTGACCCCTCACTCCCACCCATGGAGAAGATCTGTGTTGGTCACCCAGCAAACAATAGAGACTTCTTTTCAAGGGTTGGATGATGAGAAGGATAAATGTCCACCAGGCTGTTCAGATAGTACGGCTGTTTTTTGAACTTGAAGCAGAGGAAGTGGACGGAGACTCACAGCCGGAGTCTGACGCAAATAGCGAGGATGTTGATGACGATGTGGAAGATCCATCCTTCCTCATAGAAGAGTTGGGTCTTGATGAGGTAGAGAATGAAGGCAGAGATCCAGCTCCTCGAAGATCCAACAAGAGGAGTGGGCGGCGCCGGCGCACCTGTTAGTGTCAGCACCTGTCACTCTGCGGCGTGAGACAGAGCCACTCCCCACTCCAAAATGCATGTACATTATTGCCAAATTAATAAAATAAGTGTAAATTCAGATAGTCCAGGTTGTCCTGAAAACAATGATACCCCATAAGGCAACATTTATTGTTTTAATTAGAAAATACAAAAGAAAAACCAAAATGAGTCAAAAACGGTGATTTACACCCTGGAACCCAGAGGGCTAATCATTTTTTTTTAAATTGTTATTTGCTATATTTATTCATATTTTTTATAAATGTACAGTCTAGATTACCATTCTAAATTATAAAAAAAACATTCGTCATAAATGTTTGTTGGTTTCTCAGTAAAATAAACAACTTTTTTCCAATTTGGATTTAATGTTTTTTAGTGATTTAAGGTCTAATATGCAATCCTTTATGTCCAAATATAAAAAATAAGTATAAATGCATAAAGTCCAGGTTGTGCTGAAAAGATTGATACCACATAAGGCAGTGGTTATGGTTTTTATTTTGGAAATACAAAGCAAAACTCTAAATTAGTCAAAAACTGCAAAATACACCCTGGACCCCAGAGCGTTAAAATTATCTTTTCTTACCATTTTATTAGGTTCACACATCCATAGAGTTCATTAAAAAAGCACTTGTACCAGTTTGCTCAACAGCATCATCGCCAGCCTGCATTTAATGGTCAAAATGACAGTTTGATAAGGGAAACTCCGTTTATCACTTCCTACTCCGTTTATGGTAATGCCACCATCATCGTCAAATCTGAGGATGTTTGCAGATGCAAACGACACTGTCAGCAAGGTAAAGAGAAACCTTTCCTGTGTTTTAAAAAAGAACCAAAGATGGAATTAGAAGCCAAACACAGAAAGAACGTACCAAGGATGGATGGATAGTTTTGTTGATGCATGTGAGGATGGGAGGTGATTAAAGTCTAATTGGTCACAACTGATGTTAAAAAGCACTTTATTTAAGGGCATTTTTTTTTACATTTGAAATAGTGCTCCTTTCATTTGACCTCTTTAAAAAATAAAACGATGTCAGTACTTCCATTTGAAAAAGGCCGTCTGAATTTTCTGATATGGTGTCTAAATTCCCCAGCTGCTGAAAACTGTGACATTTCATTGTTGTTGTCCATGCAACAACGAAGCACTTGTTGAAATTAAACATAAGCCATTGTCATTACGTTTGAAAATCTCCATCTGAAGATAAATTTTAAAAGTCATGCTTGTCGTTTTATACGTTTATATCCGATATTTTCCAGCCAATTCCAATAGTTTAAAATGTATGCCATCAGGCCTGATTGTGGATCCTGTGATCGGATCTGAGCCTTCCTGTTCATAATTTAACAATCTATTAAAATGCACTAGAACACGTGCAATGGCCTCAACCTCATCCAATGGAAAGTATGGGGGGTTAGGATGATTTAAAGGGCCCATGACTGACTAAGGGCCAGATTTCCCTTTTACCTAGGATGTGTTGCGGTAGAAATGGAGTTTCCAGATGAGTCAGTGAGAGTGACAGGGCCCATCTCTCATCAACAGTCATATGGACATGAGACTTGTGGTGGGCACCAATGCCTTCCTGTTCCACAGACGGTTTCATCTCCCTAAAGAAAGTAATAATGATCATAAAATACGATGCCGGAGAATGCAAGCTGTCTATAAACATATAAATACCCACAGCCAGCAGAACATGACAGAAAACAAGAACAGAAGATTAAAGTGGCATGGTCCTGGGGAGCTTTCTTTGCCTTCCAGAGATAAGTGCTGCTTGTAAAGTGGAGCTAACTGAAATGCATGCAGTGGAAGCAGTTGTCTGGCCTGAAGTACCTAATTCACCTGGTAGAATAACCGATCCAGGGAGAAACGCCCATAGCTGAAGAGGGGAAGACAAGACTTTGTTGTGATTTATCCATGGGACGAAATTATTTTTCACTAAACGATTAGATTATGAGATCAGCTACCGAATTTGAACGCCACAGCTGCTTATACAATTTCACTCCTTTCTGTGATCTCAAAGTCTGGCATCAGCTGATATTGAAGATTTAAGGAGACACTTAAAGCGGCTTCAAGAAAATGGCCTTATCAAAGAATTCCACAGCCCACATCCAGGTACCGGTGCACAGTGGGAGCGCAACCATTCCCGGACCCAGGAGATTATCCCGTGCATACTGAGATAACGATGAGCTGGCTACACCAACTGATGCAGGGTAAAATAACCCATCACCCCAGAGCCCCACCAGACAGCCAGCTCCCAGCCTCCAGGCCCAGGTAGAGAACAAAGGTGTGAGAAGATTTGTTCGACGTTAGACAAAGTCAAACTGTGTCAAACAACACTAAGGGTGGGTTATCTACTTGATCAGATGAAGTCGTTGTGTCAGGATCCGGGGTGAGTCTGCACATTCCTCTAATCATCTTAAGTCATTGCAGGTAGGCGGCTCCGGAGAGCGGCCAGCTGCGGTGATTTCCGTCATCAACTACCTGTGTTTATAAGGAGCTGGAGATCACTTCACCTCGCCGGAAGATTACTCACCTTGGGTAGCTCTTGCCACTATAGTAAAACTACAGCTTTATTCTAGCCTTATATTTGTCCGTCGTTGTTTTTTTTGGTGACCTCTGCCTTCCCTTCACCAGGAATTCTCACCACGAACCTATTCTACAATAACCTGGTTTTCATCTCTAAGCCTGATCTCCCTCCTCACCCGAACCGACCCGCTCTCCCACCGCTCACCTCCCTTGGATTTTGGATTCTCACTGACGTTGCTCACCCCAGTCCTGGCTACCCTCCCAAGCTCTGGATTTCAGTCCCCACAGTAAGATCCACTACTAACTGAGTCCTGCAAATTCTATTCCCCTCTGCTCAACCCTGACAGTGTTTGTCTCAACAGACCCACCCCCAGAGCTGTGCTCAACACCACCACCACATCTGGCGGTGCACCTTTAGTTCTCCTTCAAAATAAAACATTTATTTTTTCCTACCTACGTCTCCTAGTGTGAATTCTGAAGTCTTGGGTCAGGAAACTCCCCTCATTCATGACACGTTGCCCTTTGTATTACAGTGAGTGAGTTGAAGATGGAGTTAATGGAGATGAAAGTGAAATGCAAGGATAGGGAGGGACGGATGAGGAGATGTAAAGTGCAGATTGTCTGAGTTTTCCAGAGACACTGGAGTCCAGCTCAACCATAGCAGTTGCCAGGATGCTAACAGAGGTGCTCGGGAAATAGCCATGGGTGGACCTCTCACATCACTCAACATGTCAAAATAACCTGAGTAACTGGGCAAGAGTTATTGCTGCTAACTTACATCATCAAGGTCACATGACTCTTTGGTCCCTCCCTCTATTCATGGCCCCATTGCTGCGGCTGCAGTGATGCGGGCGTTGTACCGGTCTGTCGTGGTGAAGAGAGCTGAGCCGGAAGGCAAAGCTTTCGATTTACCGGTTGATCTACATTCCTACCCTCACCTATGGTCATGAGCTTTGGGTAGTGACTGAAAGAATGAGATCCCGGATGGAAGCAGCCAAAATGAGTTTTCTCTGAAGAGTGGCTGGACTCTCCCTTAGAGATAGGGTGAGAAACTCTGTCATCCAGGAGGGGCTTGGAGTAGACCTGCTGCTCCACCACATAGACAGAAGCCAGTTGAGATGACTCGGTCATCTAGTTAAGAAGCTCCTGGAGGTTTTCCGGGCACATCCAATCAGGGGAAGGCCTAAAAGAAGACCCAGGACACACTGGAACTACGGTGACCAGACGTGTCCCGCAAATTGAGACTCTTGTCCCGCATTATTGACAGTTTCCCGTTTCGAGTTTCAATCTTATGAATTAAATTGGACAAATCTGCCTGTTGCTGTCAATCAAACGGAGGCGGGACTTTATCGCAGATCTGGAGCGTGTGTGGAGCGCGCCCGAACCACCAAAACACGCGTGAGTGAGCACGGAGGAGAAAATGCTGTAAACTCGTGAATTGAACGTGTTCAGAGATACTCGACAGAGTCTTTGTTGTTTCTGAGTCACTTTTCATGTCTCGGCGCGGAGTCTGATATGAGGAGGTCAAAAGCAGCTTTTCCAGTAATTAGACAGGTCCATGATAAACAAAATGGAGGTTCTAACACAGACAAGGTGCTGTGGTTTCAGATACCGGCGTACATGCTGAGTCCCTTAAAGCACAGTGAAGAAATAATGAAAGTAAATGGAAGCTTTAATCACTTATTCTCAGAAATTTGAGGCAAAAAGTAACTTTAAGAAACTCTATTATTAGATTAGATCTGATTTTTTTAGAGATTAGAATCTGATATTTATTCTCTCACCTAAAATCTAGAAGAGATTTGTTGTCGTGTTTAAAAAAAATTGTTTCTGAATTATGAAAAAATAGCAAAAAAGTATGGATTTTTTTTTCAATGAGATGCTGATTTTAGTGTAAAATTAATTAAAAACAAACAAACAGATCTAAAAAATATTACTGCTACTTTAACTGTCATTCTGTTGTGGAAAACATTGAATGAAAACTCTGAAAAGCTGCTTAAACCTGCATGTTTTTATTATTGTGGGCCTATCTATATGATTAAAATGATCAGAGCCACCACAGAAGGCCCAAAGAGCCTGAGTCATGTTGTAGTAACGTGAGACGAACTGAAATAGTAAAGCTTTTGCTGTATGCGTCTTCATGTTGAATTCAAATAAATTCTATACAAGAACTATATGATGATAATAAGAATAATAATTTTATGTATATGTAACAGTGATGACAAGCTGGGATCTGGTCACCCTAGCTGGAACCACTTTCGATGGATGCTTAGAGAACTGGGCTCTGCTCCGTAGGTCTATGAGAAGCTATTGGAGAGCCGTTGTGACGAGACATGATGGCGGTGTGTGCCTCCGCAGACGAAGTACAAACTAGGCTACACACACTGATCAGATTATGATGAACATGAACAATTCATTATCATCAAATAAGAGCTGGCTGGATCAATCGAGTACATCCTCTGGATGTCTTACGCCGGTGGGAATTATTTCACAGCTTTAGTTATTCCACCTATGTCGCTTTTGTATTGGATACAGTGGATCATAAGATATTTCACTGGGTAGGTTGATGGCATTCAAGTTGTGAATAAAGGAGGTTTAATAAAGTCTTTTGGTGAACAATAAACCAACCACACTGGGGAGAGCTCTGACAGATGCTGACTTGTTTATTTATTCATTTATTTATTTATTTATTTTTGGACTGGTGAGTAAAAACAATTCAGCTCATTTGTTCGGTGTTGTGTCAGATTTGGGTCACTTGGCTCAAACTAAAGTTATCTTTGGATTTATGAGCCTGAAAAGGTTACGAGGATTTTGACGGCCTTTGGTGGCTACGTTGTTAACTTGACAGCATAGTTGCAGCACGTTATTCATCAAACGGAGGTTCTTTCTTTAAAAAAAAAATCTAACTTCGGTACACACAGCACATTTAGAGATTTGTGCTCCGAATAACAGTTTAAGAGACATGAGCTGTATTACATTTACCTTGCTTATCCACCTTATGCTTTCCCAAATTTGGGTCGTGGAGGTAACAGGTCCTCGGGGGTGCCTAGACATCCCTCTCCACAGCAGCACTCTTCCCTATCCTAACTTGATCCCAGGATTTATCGACCTCAGTTTAAAATCTTAACTCTCTTTTATAAGGCCCTCCAGGGCAGTGCCCCCTCGTACATTACTGCGCTTTTGAACAGGTATGCTCCATCTCGGTCTCTTCGCTCAGCCGAGCAGGAACTTCTGGTGGTCCCCCGGTCGAAATTTCGATCGAGGGGTGGTCGTGCTTTTTCTATTTTGGCTCCAACTCTGTGGAACGAATTGCCACTGAGCATTAGGCAGGCACCATCCCTTCAAGTCTCGTTTAAAGACTCATTTTTATCTGATTGCGTTTTAGCGCTAGGGTCATTTGAATTGCCCTAACATTATGGTTTTAACTGTTCTTCTTTTTAACCCAGATGCTTGATTTTATTTTTTCCGACATTTGTTTTTTTATCGATTAGTCTTATTCCGATATCTCTCTTTATCTGTAATAGTGTTTGCTTAATATTTTATGATTTTATGTTTTTATCCTGTTTTATGCCCATGTACTGGGAATATTTTTCTTTTAATGATGTTGTTCAGCACCTTGGGCTTCCGATAATGTTGTAGAAGGTGCTATACAAAGAAAATTTGATTGATTGATTTGATTGATTGATCCCAGGATTTAGACGTATAATCCCTGTAGAAGTTCCCGGGTCTGCTCTGGAGTCTACTTTCAGTGGGAGGAGGCATTTTTCTTCTGGGGTGTTTAGCTACCCTAGTCTGCAACGCTGCACCAAATATATTAATGTTGTGATTTTAGATTCATTTGTGAATTTGTAAAAAAAAAAATAATAATAATAAAAAAAAAAGACCTACTGG